ATATCTGGATGCTGCACTCATGTTCACCCTATCAGATAAACGACTCTTCTAAGTCTCACCCTTAACCACTGAAGAAAATGAGTTCAGAATATAATTCCCTGATGTAGCACTCATTTTTCATACATTTCGCATCGTACGCAAGTATCCATGCATTTTCATTCATTGAAGACATTTACGTTTATATAAAGTGAATCTGAGTTATCATTTCTGTATATTGATGAAAAAGGATTGGACAGAAGATTCCATTCTTTAATGTCTTAATTGAGAGAGCCAGCACAGAAAATTTGGAAACATAACCATATAAAAATCAACGCACACAGACCGAATACTCAATAATAATACTAATAACTTTACAACCCACAAAGGAAACTGTGCAGACGTTGTTTAAAAGAGTTCGGACTCACCGTAGCACTCCGATGTTTAGGATAATGGAGGAAAAATACCTACTAACCGTCTTCAGGAAGAACGGAGCCCCTCATGGTTCCACCGAACAGTGTTCAAACTCAAGTCATAACACCGACAACATCAAAGACCACAAAAAGTCCGCTCTACTACAAAAAATATTTCTTAAGTAACAGGTAGAATATTAAGAACCTTCAAAATACATGCAGCACGCGCGCCGGCACAGTAAGCTCATTCTGTATTATATAAACTGAAATATCCAACAGATAGAGGGGATAAAATTAATTCATTAATAAACTGTACAAACTGCAACAAAAACTACATTGGTCAAAGTGGGAATCCCACTCGAATCGTAATTCAAGAACACAAATTGGCCGTGAAAAGACATGAAGCATATACTTCCATATCAGTGTATGTGAATAATTATAGACACGGATTAGATTGCGATAATGTGGAAATTTTAGATAAGGGAAACACCATAAACGCCAGGGAATTCCCAGATGCCTGGTACTCAAGTGCACTAAAATTTTACAAACTCATTGATATCGGCCAAATTTATTAAATAATAAAAAGTCAAACATATGACAAAAAAGTCCAAATTTGTATTTGGTAAAAATGGTCGACAGAGACGTAAATTAAAAATGTCACTACAGTGGACGCCAGGAGATATGATAACATCATAGACGGAAAATTTAAATGAGTCAATTTTCTAATAAAACTTGTGCTAAAAAGCCTAGATATATACATAAGTTTACTACAGCTATATTCCACAGAGTATTTGTCAGTGTCGTTGAAGATTTGGTTGTTTCCTAAAACCAAACTCCTGAAAAACACGCATTTAACTGGAAGGCGTAGGTCGCCATCGATGAATGTGATTGTGCTGTGGGTTGGCTTTGCTGTTTGTTTTCCATTTCAGCTTTGTCCGTATAGCCCAGGTTCTCGCACTGGAATCCAAGTCAACATGTATTGGTCGTTATGGAAAAAGGGATGGACCCCTATTTTTCCAGGGAGTGGCAGTGTAGTTGAAGATTTAACGATCAGTTCATGGTTGCTTGCTCAGTCCCAACTCCTCCATATTTTTCGCGGGAGTCATCAATCCAGTAGTCATCGTCTCATCATTCACTGTTCAGTGGAGGATAGAAAACTATCAGAAGTATTATCGTGATTTATTGTTATAACATTTATCCTTAGACCTTATGTGTAATAACCTTAATGTTGGTTACATATTGGCGTAAGAATAAAGGATTCTCAAGTCGCCAATCTGTGCTCTGGGTTTTTCGCGTTGGTTATTACAAATTGTTTCTGAAAGTCTTCCGAGGACAGCGTGAGGTCCAGTGTAGTATGACCTGGACATTGACAGTGTCTGATATTTGGCTGACAGTATTTTTATTGCAAGTATGGAATTTCCAGCATTTCAAATCGGTAGCCGAAGTTTGGCTGGTAAGCCCGTTGACTTATGGTGTGCGTCTGTAGGGATCGAAACCCGGAGAATCTGCATGGTCCGCGAGCATCCTGACCGTCACCGAACCGCATACGGCTAAGCCCCGAGATGAGTTTTAGAATTATTTTTTTCTGCATATGTAAAGTTTTCATTTCCAGTTTACTTTCAGGTTCTTCTACACAATCTTGAATGCTCACGTGGAAGCAAGCCTTGCGAGCTTCAGAAGCTGGGATCCACAGGTCATCTCGTCAAAGAAACCTTTTCATACATAGCAGTCGATGCCTGAAGGCAGAAATTTTCAGATATCAGGACATTTTGAGCAGCGTTAAGCAAATATAAAATGCAGTAATAGGCATGTGGAGTCAGTGGCTAAACACAGTTGTTAACAGAGACCAAATGCACTACAGAAAAATAGAGCATCGATCATTTCCCGCGAACATGTCAATCTCCCACTGAATGCACAAAATGGAGCAGCCGAAGGTATCATATCTGTTGGATGTCGACCGTACTATGCTCTAATTCTCAGGCTGAACCAGTGGCACCAGGAAACTTACCATGTTTTCCCATAAATCTCTCCTCCAGAGGACACTAAAAAGGAAGTGGTTGAAATTCACTTACTCTTGAGTCTTCGCCCTATGGAATTCCCCGGCTGATGTAGTTACTGCTCCATTAGTTGGGGGCTTCAGGAGAAGGATCAGTATGAAAAAAATATCAGCCTCTATCTAAGAATAAAGCAGTCTAGTACTGGGGACTGTACGGGCATTAAAAATAATAATAGCAGAGACACACTGTTACAAACTAAACACACTTCCTAAAACATTTTCACGTTGTTCCGCTCGCTGCGTTCAGTTAAGCAATAGCTGTAGGCAGAATATACCTTCTGTGGCGCGATGAACCGAAACCTCAAATGGGAATCAAGAAATCACCAGATTTCTACAAGCCCATAAGCTTCTCGTGAACCCCAAAAGCCTATACAGTTTTATGTCTGAAAGAAAACCGACCAACCAGGGAGCATGCAATCTAGTGGGTTCTGATGGGAAATCTCTTACCAGTCTTGAAATGCCAGAGACATTCAGCCTAGCCTTCCACAGGCAACTAAACAATAACGAGGATATTACCCCCATAGAACATCAAGATTACATTGCAAAACCAACGCACGAAAACCTGCTGGGTGCATTTCAAACTACCTTGGCCATGGTACTTGTAAAATTGGGAAATTTGGCTTCGCGAAAGTCTTCAGGTTGTGATGACATCAGACCATCCGCCCTGAAGCAGTGTTCGGAAAGTCTCTGCCAACCCCTAAGTGATCTGTTTCAACATTCCCTTGATGTAGGGAAACTTCCATGTGAATGGAAACTAGCAATCCTATCCCCTATCTTCAAGGGTGGTGACCGGCAGAATGCGACCAGTTACAGACCAGTTGCTCTACTTCCAGTGATATCGAAGATATTGGAAAGTCTCATTGACGACCACATGAGAAAATACTTCGATGGGACTAACCTTCTTCACGAAGCACAGCACGGTTTCAGGAGGGGAAGATCCTGCGTGACGAATCTTCTACTAGCCTGGAACGATTGGACACTATCCTGGGACGAAAAGGTACCAGCCCACGTGATCTTTCTCGACTTTGCGAAAGCATTCGACACAGTTCACCATGGTCTGCTCCTTCACAAAATAAGCAAGGCGGGTGTTTCTGGAGCACTTCTCGCATGGCTGAAAGATTACTTAGGCGAGAGAGAATTCTGCACCAAAGTCAACCGCATCCGATCATCCTGGCACACCTCGGCATCAGGGGTTCCTCAGGGTTCTATCCTAGGGCCGTTGATGTTTTTGATTTTTATCAACGACCTGCCCCCCAACTAAACTGCTCTGCGCTTCTTTACGCTGACGACGTAAAGATTTGGAGAGCAATAAACTCATCGGAAGACTCAGATAGATTGCAGGCTGACCTGCAAACTCTGGGAAACTGGGCTCTGGCTAACGGAATGCCTTTCAACCTAAAGAAGTGCAAAGTAGTGCAACTTCATTCCGGCAGGTCACAGAGTGTAAATTACACCCTTGGTGGCCAGAACTTGAGTTGTGTTCCATCAGAGTGCGTTCTAGGTCTTATTCTAACAGAAAAGCTAGACACCAGTGGAAATTACGCGAGGGACGTCGCCAAAGCCTACGCAACTTTACACTTTATGCATAGGCAGCTGGGAGCTCTCACTCCCGAACTGTTCTTAAGGTTATATAAGGCATATGTGAGGCCACACCTTGAGGTGCATAATATCATTGCACCTCCGCTACTCAAAAGGGATGCTAACATTCTAGAAAGTGTCCAGAGACGAGCGACAAAATGGGTGATCGGCCTCCGCAACAAATCATATGAGGAAAGACTAAAGAAATTAGGTCTTTTCACACTTAGTTACCGAAGGCACAGGGGAGACCTCATCACCGTCTACCAGATCCTAAATGACCAGGCCCACCCAAATAAAAGCATCCTGCCATTAAGTGACTATAGGCTTCCACGAGGTAACCCGCTAAGGATAGCACACCAGAGACCAAAGACTCGAGTGCGATCACATTTCTTTTCGCTTCGTGTTTGCCGTCTCTGGAACGCTTTACCGGCGGCCGTGACTACAGCGCCTTCTCTGGAGATTTTTAAGCGGAAGCTAGACAATCATGCAGAAATGCAAGGTTTGTGTCTCAATGGCTTATCCTCATAAAACTTAAAACCACAATGTCAATGGATAAGCGTACAAGCTAAATCCCCACGACCTGTTCTGCCTTCTCTCACTGAACTACTCTATCTTTTCCTTAGGTCACCTTTATTATTCCACTTATCTCAACCTATATTATCTACACTACAACCTATTATTATTATTACTATTCTGCTTTTATGACTACACCGAATGACCAACGGGAGTTAGGTCAAACTCCATTCACGGCAGCAACACAGTCCTAACATACTGCATACTACAAACCACATCTTGACCAATCCCCGCACCACTCCTCTTGGAGTCTACCAGAGCTAAAGCAGTCGAGTGGCGGGACTTACTACGCAGAAGCTCACCGAAGATCTGGAACCTCTACCTTATAATCAAGAATCAAGCTCAAAGAAATCACTGGTTTATACTAGCTCGTAAACAGGATATTGGATAACGATACTGGACATTGGAAGTTGAAAGCCCGTACTAAACAACTTTTTGCGTTCCCGAATGGTTTATGACGAATATAATTTGTATGCGTCTCTTTCATATTCATATTTCGTTATTTCAGTTTCGTGACTCCAGACCAATATTATCTTTGTGCTTGTGGCTCCAAATCTGTTATTATCATCGACAGATTTACACAAGAAGTCAAAGTTGATAGTAAGTTACCTTGCATTGGAATATGTTTTTCGTAGGTGACGAGTCAGTCATCCCTGCGGTCGCCAAAAAGCACACAATTTATGGTATATGGGGTGTTATTCGTTTGGTCTCAGGTAAAACTTGCAGTTGTTACAATATCATAAAATAGGCTTTTATTTGTTAGTCATTACAGAACGGGAGAGTGTTGGTGAAATTTTTGGACATTCAGTATGGAAGATTACTAAAAGTTCACTGTATCCCTTCGCAAAGTCTTTACTACACTTGACAGACCTTCAGGTAATTTCACTGTATATCTATGATGTTACAATGCAAGAACCAAGATGAATCTTTTTACTGTCAAATGCTCAATGGCATTCTGTCCACGGAGGGATTTTACTACTCGACTTCATATGACTTAAGTCATACTCTGCAGCGCCTGTCGGATACCAGTCCAGAGTTTAAAACACGTAGTATGTATGAACGTGTAAGTTCTGATTATGCATATTTGGAAGAGTTGGAAGTTGATTTTACTTTTTGTTGTAGCTGTTTGACATATAATATAGGTTTTAGTGGTCGTTTTCACCGCCTATTTCTTTATATGCGATTCCTTCGTATGATTATCTAAGTGCTATAAATAGAAAAGTCTCCTTCCACGCAATATTTCATTCATATTGGAATAATCAAAATCCAGGGTTTTTGTTATCATTATCTTATTAGTTATTAGGCTTACACCATCTCACCGACTCCTTTCAACGTAAAACTTTGCACAGATATGCAGCAGTTCAAGTTGCCAGGCCCCATGTAGCACACAAAGCAAAAGAAGAGAATAAACAGAGATGATTAACAGTAATATGAGGCGAAAATAATTAAATATTATAAATCACAAGAAGTGGATGCATCTGCGCCACTGCAAAAAATTTCAAGCCATATTACCAATTGTCTCCAATCATTGGGTTTTACCATCCGCATACACCCAACCAGGAGGTTTACATCTCCCTACGTGGCTTAAACTAACTGTTGTGGATTTCATTGACCGATGAGGTTATTTTTCCGTTTGACCACCACTAGCTCTTTTCCAACCTGACCCTATATCAGCTAACATTGCCCGTCGAGGAAGACTATGGCTAGACAGGCATGTGTAACACATATCCTAACCATCCCAACCAACATAACTTCACAACCCCACCAATTGATTTCCTCTCCTTACCTAGCATTCGACGCCTAACCTCAATATTGCTCATCTTATCATACCACCACTTAACACGGGAGATAGAACGCAGGCATCTGTGGTCAAAAACAGCTAGCCAAGCTTTTCAAGTCTTCCACGCTTAATAGCCATGTCTCACTACCATGAAGGAGGTCAGAGCGGACCGCTGAGAAGTATACACGCCTTCTGGTCGACAGCCAGTCGGATATGACGTTTACGAAGCTAGAGATGGCTTAAGTTGGCATATGCCGGACGAGCCTCCTGTGTCTGCGCTGAAGTATTATCAGCGATCAACCCATGGGCACCGACTGCTACAAATTCCACAATAAGTGAAGGGGTCAACACACTCTATCACTTCACTCCTTATCTTTAAGGTAGGAGTTATTCGATGTAGTTCAGTCCTGTAATATCATCTTACATTCGACAGGAGAAGATCACACGCCAAACACTAGACGATTTCTGCTCAAGGTGTTCAGAAGACTCTGCATTTTGTCAGCATCTTCACCTAGGAGGACTATATCATCTGCATATTTCAAGTCAACGAAATTATTCACTGATAACAAGTCAATTCCTGAGTTGCTGAAGTCAGTTAGGGTTAAGTTCATTAGTATATCTACGATGAGACTAAACATAAATGGGGACAATGGGCATTCCTGATAGACATCACAGGTTGTCACCACTTCAGATAACAACTCTATGTAGGCTCTCACCTGGCTGGCTGCATGAGTTCGAGTAGTTTCTTGACCAGTGCAATTTGTTTTCTCGACATTCCCTTCACAACCAAACATCGCCTGAGTACCTCTCGGTCGACGGAATCAAATTCCGCTTTCAGGTTAAGAAATGTGACAATTTTTAGACGCCGGTAAGTATGCATATGTTCCAGAATATCTCGAAGGGAGGGATCAATACACCCTCTCCCTGGTCTAAAGCTTGCCTGGTTCTTTCGTCTTCGTTTCTCCCGAGCACCCGTAGTCTTCGCGTAATTATTGATTATTGGTCAAGCTAATCCCCCTGTGATTATCACAGGAAGACTTGTCTCCCTTGTCGTATATCGGGATAATCAATCACCAGCCTCACGGGACTTCCACTGATTCCCAGGCGCTGCCTAATACCTTAGTTAACGCAGACAGTAAAATGTCTCCACCGTCCTTAAACATCTGTATAGTCATTCTGTCAGGTCCTTGTTTCAGACTAGTGACAGCTTTTGTAGCCTCAGTCAGGGACAGAGAATCGGTGTTTATATCCCATTCACTGAGTGTTGGATGTTGGGTAATTTGAGCATGGCTGTAGGCCAATTCAATTACTCCTCAGTGTCCTTTCCAACGTTCCAGTTATCCATCCTGAAAGCCAATTATGGCGCCATTTTCCTCAGAGATTTTTTCGCTTATCACCTGTCCACCTAATAAGTCCAAAGAGAACACAAAGTCGTCTCTTCTTTCTAATGTCCTAATGGGTGTATTCCACTCTCTGAAAACATATTACGCGCACTTGCGATTATCATTATTATTGTCTCCTTTAGCTCCTAGAGGAGCATAGGGCTTCAGCCGCATGTCTCTATTGCGTTCGGTTCTCCGCCAACGTTTTCACCTGGCTCCACGTCTGCCCAGATGCTTTCATCTCTTCTTCTCATGACCTCCACACCACCTTCAAACGACCAGCTAATCGCTTCCCATTTGAACTCTAATTGACAGCCTGTCGTGTTATGTCACTTGATGGTCTTCTCAGGGTGTGGCCAATCCACCTCCATTTCTTCCTCCATATTTGTTACACAGTTGGTACCTGGTTGGTTCGCTCCCAGAGATCCCTGTTGCTGATCTTGTCTGGCCACCTGATTTTGAGTAGTGAACAAAGACAGCTGTTGATGAAAGTCCGTAGTTTGTTCGAAGAGTCCTTCGTGACACTCCAAGTCTCTGATCCGTATGGTAGCACTGACTTCATCTGGATCTTGTTTTCCATGCTTAATGCTGCTGATCTCCACACATACTCTAGGAATCAATGGCTGGAGACAATAGGTGACATGGCTCAAAATCGTTGTCAATGGCGCAGATGTATTCAATCTCTGTAATCTTTCATATTCCTTTCTACCATTACCCATTCTGTTTCACTCTTATATTTGTCAAACTCTATTAATTCTCTTCACTCATCTTCTTGTCTACCTCTGTGTGCTATTTGGAACGTGGCAACTCGAACTGCTGCACTTCGGTGCCAAGTTCTATGTTGAATCCAGACAGACAGAGTAGTAAAAGCTTGACTTGCTTTCCCGATCCTTGCTTTGGTATCCTCATCAGTTCCGCCTGTGGTTGAAACGATGCTTCCCAGGTAGGTAGGTAGGTAAAGGAGGTTGCTTCTTTCAGATTTCTCCCACTTTTGCTGATTATTGTCTGTTGTAGTTGCTGTTTCTGTTGACCAGGAATCTTCATCGCCTACCTCTGCTTTCTCTATGCACACCTGAAGTACTATCTTCGATGCTTCTTCTGCGCAACTGTTGCTTTTCACTTGCATATCTTCCAGTTTGTGGACAATCAAACATATATCATCGGGGAAGTCCAGATCCGCGAAGTTTTTTGTGTGGGTCCATTTTATGCCTGTCTCCTTGTTGCCCGCTGTCTGTCTGTCACATTATCTAGTCTACCATAATCAGGAAATCATTAGAGATAGTAGGAAGCCAGCCTGTCTTACTCCCGTCTTCACTTCAAAGGATTCCGTGAGTTTCCCCTTGTCGATTACTTGTAATGCAGCATTGTCGTACAACTGTTGGATAAGATGTATAGTTGTTGGCGGCAATCCGTAGTAGCGAAGTGATTTCCGAATCAGCTATCGAAGGACTTTTCAAAGTCGATGAAGTTGAGCGAGGTAGAGAGCTGACTGCTATTCCAAGCTCTGTTTAATGATGATACGCAGTGTTACGTTTTGATATGTGTTTGGTTTATTTCTCCTGAAACCAGTCTGTTCCGATCGAAGTTTTCATCGACGGCATTTTTGATTCTCCAGGATGATGTGGCTCAGTTCTTTTCTTGAGGTGGATAGGAACACAAGGCCACGTCATTCCTGAATTGACTTAAGTTTGAATAGGTAACCTTTTCTCCAATCAGCAGGTACCTCGCCCTCTTTCCATACCTTCTCCAGTAGTGGTGTCATCAACTCCGCTAATGTCTTTGGGTTCATTTTCAGCGCTTCTGTGGGGATTCCGTCTGGTCCTGCTACTTTTCCAGTTTCTTGTCATCATTATGGCCCTCAGGACTTCTACTTTCGTCGGAGCGTTAGTATCCATTAGTAGTTCTGCTTCCGCTGTTGGCATTATTGTGCGCGTTGTAGGTGGTGGTGGGTTTAGAAGTCTTTTGAAGCCTTCAGCCCAGTGTTTCCTTTGCTCCACCTCTTTGGTGATTGACTTTCCATTGTCATCCTTCACTGGCTTAATTTGTGTCATCACCCACTTCTCTTTCAGGCAACTTACTACCGACAGTAAATAACTCACTTTAGTGTCTCGTTGGCAAAGGCACCCTGCTTTCAGGCAATAGGTGCCTAATTCGAATTCTGCCTCACCTATTTCAGCCTGAACAGCTGGGTGGCATCACCAGCCCTCGCACCAAAAGTGTGATTCATAAACTGAACACCAACTTGGACTGATATCATGCTTTAATCTATCGCTAACACTTTTCCAAACTAATTCAACTTCAACTAGCGTTGCTGGACGGAGGCCTGGATCCGTGTGCACAACATATCCTATTCATCTCAGTTGATGAAGCTCCGTAGTCCTACTACTTGGCCTTCACTGTTGCATCAAGTAGTGTGATTAGTTAAATAAATACCTCTGTAATCCTTTCATAGCTACTTCAGGCAGCCATAACTTAGTAATGGAGTCGGACAGAGTGAAGTGCACATGCCCTTTGAATTGTGTTAATTTAAGCTACAAATTGAGCGAGAAAATATACTATTACATACACTTTTAAAAGGATGCATCGCTTTCATATGGTGAGAATTACCCTCAGAAGTTTTAATTTTAACATAGAGCAATGGCATTCGGAATTCATCAGAATAAACGAAATTCGTAGGTTAGAAAGGAATCCATACGTTCGCCTTCTTGGTTTTGGTCGTGTACATAATATGTACAGTCTTACAAATGATCGTTTCTGCTATTCTTTTAACTGTCAGTCGACATTTTTATTACTTTTTATTAATAATATCTTTTAGCTAAGTATATTAACCTCTTCGCTTCCTGATTTGCTTACGTAACTATTAACAGGTTTACTCATCATTCTCTTTAATTATCATTATCTTAGTTATCGATTTCGCACTAACACGTTGCTAACTCCTGCCAATTATATGGTCTCAATGTCGGCAGTCATTGCTATCTCTCCTATACCACAAAATCGGTATTTCTCATTGAATATTACATTACCAGGTAATTGGTATGGTTTTGACGTAACCGCTTTCAGTCTTATCGTTAGTCTACCGTCCTTTATGTTTAAGTACATGAAAAACTGTCATTTTAGTCAGTATAGCTCATTGGGTCATTATGATATACAGGTATATTGGGGTTATACATGAAATTGTGACCGTTCCGTGTCGTTCTATTTACTTTACTATTTCAGTCTCTGTATTTCTTTTTAAATTCTTATTTGTTTGTTAGGCAGATACACGCTTCACATGGAACAAAGCTTTGCTGAATGAATGGGAATCTTTACTGAATTCAGCAACATCGTTTAAACATAAGCAAATGGCTGGCTGGAATCGCTTCGATTACTGTATACCTATAATCCAAGGATACGTTGGAATACTAGATTATCCTGAAAGTCTCTCCAATATTGCTAAGGCGAATCCAGTATATTCACTTATCTCAAGACGTAGTGTCTATCGTACTGGAACCAGGTTTAATACACGTGGGATTGATGAAGCAGGAAATTGTGCAAATACCGTGGAGACAGAACAGTTGCTTGAAATTTCGGGGCATAGATTCTCTTTTGTTCAGGTTCGTTTCATTTAATACCTTCTTGTAGATTGAATATTCAGGCCGTGTGTGAGAGCTGACAGTAATGATTGGTTACCTGATTTCAAACAGACGGATTTGTTGTATGAAAGCCAATTGTCTAATATATTAAGCGCATAGTTAGCACCATCTTAATTTGACAAGAAATTTGAGTCCACATTATATTTCGATCCTCAAGTGAGCGTCGCTATATCAAGAGCTCGTGGTAAGTGCGTCGGCAGCGGAGCGGTTAGGACGCTCGCCGACCATGCACATGGTCCGGGATTCGATCCCCGGCCGACGCACTCCTTTACTTCGCCAATCCAGAAATAATGCTGGTAAAGAGGAAAGGTTGGGCATGAGGCTAGCAACCACATCCTGTAAAAATAAACATTGCTACAGAAACTTCAAGCCACTAGCTTGAAGCTCTGTGTCCCACTGGGAACGTGAAGAAAAAAAACTAGTGAACGTCGCTATATCAAGAGCTCGCGGTAACCACCTACTAAGTCTTTGAAATAAGGCTTACAAGCTAATCAGTGACACATCTTAGGTAGATAAAATCCACAACTCCTCTATGAAGATTGTAGTGGTAGTGGGATTATTGCCATGTTTTTGGGGTATATTTTGAAATTCTAAAATGTAAATCATTACTTTCATATCTTGTCTGATGGAAGAGAATGAAGTGGTTGCATGCGTAGATTACTTGCAAAAGAAGCCTTATCAACTACAGTGGGTTAGTGGTTGGCAAAGCCTCAACACGCTTGTCAGATTCACTTACTTTATATGGCAAGTTTGTTTCAAAACCTAGAAACTGTGATCATCTCTTATTAATAGTTTTTCAAATTTAGTGCTTCGAATTCATACTGTCACGGAGATATTTTGGTCGTGGTCTGGGTTCAATTCTCAGCCGGCAAAGTCCTAAACTTCGTATAGCCTGGAGTAATCTGTCTGTCTGTCTGTTTTCGACATAGAACTTTGCACAAATGTGCGGAAGTTCAAGTCGCCACATTCCGTGTAGCACGCGAAGCAAGAGAAGAAAGTACAAGAAAAGCATAATAGAAACAGTGAGCAGAGGTGTGAGACAAAGGAGTAATAAAGAAATACAAAACAGTTTCATTGAAGATCATAAGTCACAGGGAGTGGATGCCTCTGCGCCACTGAGAACGGTTTTGAGCCATGTCACCAATTGTTTCCTGGAGTAATCCCGGTAAAGAAGGGGGGCTAGCAACCTCACTTCGTAAAAGCAACAAAACTACCACTGCTTAAACTTCAAGACTGAAACTAGAAAACATATGCTCCACTTGAAACTCAATGGAATGAAAAAAATGTGTTTGTGTGTGTGGGGGGGGGTAGTTGAGGTACAGTTCATTAACTACAACAGACTAGACCTTTAGTCACTAAATCTGGGGTTTCACACTTCAATTTCTCACCCACCATCAACTAGGGTAACTAGGTAGTAATGTTAGTTCTCATTTATGTTTGACTTATACCTGAATATTGGTTGTGTATACTTATATTGTGTTACCTGTTCTATAAGTGCTTCCACTGTGCTTCGTTGATGATATTCAGTAATTTGTGCTATTTATTTATATGCTAGCTGTATACACCCGTCTGTTTTAATTCAGCTTCGTGGTTCTGTGCCAATATACTGGAGTCAAAAACCCAATCTAAGATATAAACCAGCTGTCCTACTCGGTGGAAGCCAATTATTATCTTCACATGTCAGTCAGTCAAATAATATGATTAATAATGCAATCGGCAAGACGGTCAGCGAAGAGAATTTAGAGGTAATACAAGCGAATATTGCTCGTCAACACTTTCACAGTCTTATATATGATTATGGTTATGGGAGACAGATAATAATAAATTTACTAAATCAAAAAGGTTTGGAATATCCTTTAGGACATGCTTATGCTATGGCTACTTTACCACTAGATGAAAAGGAAGTTAAGTAAGCCCACGTGAATTATGTTTTTCACATTGTATTTTATGATTAAGTGTTTTGTAGAATTTAAAAATTCCCATTCGCTCATTAGGGAAACGACAAACTAAGTGAAGAAATCTACCTCAAGTTGGATGGGAGGACAAATACTTTCCGACGACATTAATTAGCTGCTGGGCTGTTGGTCGTGAATTGGAAAAGTTACACTTTAAAGAGGATTGTATATTTTCGAGTGTCAGTATGTAGGGACTTGATTAGTTCCAAGTTAGATCGTAGACTGATATCAGTGAGAGAACCACTGAGAGTCAGGAAGTGCTTGACACCAGTTTCTTCTTTGTTTGGGGCTCTTCAGAATTACGCGCCCATCAACCCACTAGAGATCGACCCCAGGACCTGCAACTCACAAGGCAAGCCTGTTGACCGTTTAGCCACTGGGACGGAATCCTGTCGCCCATGAGTTATAACTCCTGCCCATTCGTGACCAACAGCGCCTCCTCTAGCGAATTTCATCGATGAGAATTTGTTCGCACATTTTCGACGTAGTAGACCCCTCTGGTAGACACTTTTCACGTAAACTTCAGGCAACTTCGTCCTGTAGTCAGTTGCTAGTGAGCATTAGAGAGATTTTCAAGTGTTGGTGTACAGAGATTTGATGGATTACAGGTTAGATTACGGATCAGTATCTGAAAGAAATGGCGCTAACTGGTACTGCTTATTTGTCATTGTGTTTTAGTCAAGACCAATCCGTGGAAAGATTTTAATATAGAATATGAGTAAACATAAGTGTAGGTGCATTGTGTTTTTGACTTATTTTGCTTTCAATCTGACAACTTGTTTGAGGCAGCGTGTATCGATCGTGACATTTTAGGGCAAATAATACCTCTTCTGTATTATGCACAGGATAAACGTGAATTGTGGTGAAATGTTATTCCATATTAGGTAGAGTTTATTTCAAATATCATACAGTGATTCAGTATTAATAACTGGATGACGTTTCGAGCATAAATTATTGCTCATAATCGTATCGGTTTATTCACACGGCTTCATGATTTGCTTTAAATATTTTTCTATCATTCTCTTCCTCCTTCCTTTGTTGTTTGTTGCCACTTTCCATATCTCTGGTATACGCGTTGTATCATTCCAATTACACGTGCGCAGTGATGAATCGATAAACAAAGCTTCAGTGATTAACCTCTCTCTCCACGTAACTGTATTACTCTTTTGGATACTCTCACCCTATTTTGTGATTACATGCAAGTGAACGCTGTGCAATGATTGAGCTTTTTTCTAGGTTATTTAACTTAGTAGGGTTATTCATTTTAGGCCTAGCTAAGTTGTTAAGTTCCAATAATCTAGTTGACCCCGATCTAGATTAACCTATTCAATTGACCTCAATAACAGTCACTGAATGGTATTTGGTAAATTATATTATTTTTCTTAATTTGATCTATTGGGTCTTTAAGGCAACAAAGTTGATCTCTGAGAGAATTGGCTGGTTTAAATGGCGCCCTAATTCCGGCCTCTGACGTCTCTTCTTTATATGGCAGTACTACAGAGGCTTGGGATTCTATATTTTGTTATTGTCGTTATCATTACTGATCATATTTTTCTATGACTCTTCATAAGCTTCTGAATAAATTCTGGAGAGCAGTTATGGACTAGTAATATTTTCTTTGTTTGTTTGACTTCATTATTTAAATCTTCTGGCTTCCTAGTTAGGCTCTTGGCCCAATTATACAGACATTTAACTAAACCTATCTTTACTGATTCTGGGTGGACTGAATTAAAGTGTATGTTTTTATTAGTGTTTAGATGCTGACATCTAGCCTACTATCTTGTTTTCGTCTTATTTATACTGTAGAATGGCTAGCCCACCCCGTTCGTTTTGTAACTCAGAAGTGAATGGGATTCTGTCTACCATTGAGCTTATGTGTGCAACGGTAAAAGATACTTGCAAGGAAACATGAGTTAGCACGTCACTTAGTTTGATATCTTACCGACAGATGAATAAGTAGTAGTCTCAAGTTCGAATCCTGACCCGTCCACTCTAACCTAGGCAACTATGTAGTATTATAAGCTCTCAGAAAATATTTGGCCCGCAGCCGAACGCATAACTATATTATCATGAGCAGAATTTCAAAATAAACAATTTACTTTATGGCTATTGTTTTTCTGTTCCTTCATATATAAGGTATGAAAGTTTTGACTTCCACCGAGAGTGCGGTTCAACTCGTTGGGATCGACTTGGTGTTTTGTTGGAACGACTTATACCAGAATTACTGAAATCAAAGTTAGTGTGTTATATATATATATATATATATATATATATATATATATATATATATATCAGTTTTAATAATTCTTCCCAACTTAAAGGCTAATTGTTTAGAAGTTCATCATATGTATAGATGTTCCGCTTTGTTGAGTGTACTTTAAGTATTTCAGTAGTAATATAGCTGAATCCATGGCTTTCTAACTGGTCATCAAGTTACACCCAAGTTATTCTGATTTCTCACAATTACTTGATAACATAATTTATTTGAACAAAGAAAGAACGAACATATTTAGAGAATAATACGAATTTAGTTTATTTCGTTAATTCTGTCTTGCCAACTGCATACAACTTAAACAATATCAAAATGTAAGTTACGTAAGATTTAACTCTGATCACAGTGAGTTCGAGTTATCGATAGAATGTATAAGCAACATAATTTCAAAATGATATAAGTAGACAAATTATTCTATATTTTAAGAGAGCTATACTATTAGACTAGATTGGGAGTGGGTGTACAGAGTTCAAATTTTGCATATAACCAAGGGTTGACTAGAGATAAAATACAAAATTTAACAGCAGAATCAAGTTATATATAGTATGGTGTAAGGTTCAAGAGGATAACACAGTGAAAATTAAAACTAGTTTTGACATAGAAAAATAATTGAGTTAAACTGGAATATTTATTGTGTGTGGAACTCAGTGAGTAAAAATCAAAATTAAGTAGAGTATAATACAGTGGAACCAAATACACAAAAACTCAAACAAAACGATAACAGTTACCTGGGCAGTGACAATTTAATCATCCAATCTTTCCGTATACAGAGGTTGGATGGAAATCTTTTGATAGCTGTGGCTCCTGTAAAACGAAGTAACCAAGGTTTTTTTTTCCTATATATTGATTATTTCCAAAGCTTCACCAATTTCAACTGTTTTTACTGTGTTAATGAGGTGTATGGTGATTGAGTATTAAAACATTTTGCTGCATTTCATACGAAGAAAATCTAGGAGACACTCTCTTCTTACAGAATAATTTGTCTACTTATATCATTTTGAAATTATGTTGCTTATACATTCTATCGATAACTCGAACTCACTGTGATCAGAGTTAAATCTTACGTAACTTACATTTTGATATTGTTTAAGTTGTATGCAGTTGGCAAGACAGAATTCACGAAATAAACTAAATTCGTATTATTCTCTAAATATGTTCGTTCTTTCTTTGCTCAAACTAAACAAGAGAACCGTTTTCATTCAAACTGAACGAACACGCTAAGCGAATAAAGTCACGGGGTAGCATACGCCAAACAGCAGAAGCCATTGGAATCTGCTTAAAATTGCGAGTAATTTGTATACAAATGAAACAAGGACAGTCACTGTTACTACTTCGGCCTGCAGTGGAGTCTGTAAATTCATAAATACTGTGTTACTTCACACCTTTGTGTACAAATTCTCCCTATCCTTTACTACACATGTACGAGTAAACCATTTGTTTTTTGTACTTTTTTGATGCTATATCATTCATTCATATGAAGTTTATTAACGTGAACACTAATCATGAGCATTCACTACCATACATTCATTGCTACTCATAATCATTTGCTTTGACATCTAACCTTCAATTTGGTACTATATTTTTGCATATTATGACATTCACATATCGCGTCTCAGTCGTTGAATAGTCTACAAGCTCGCATTGTAATCAGAAGGTCCTGGGTTCGAGCCCCGGTTGGTGTGTACCGAAGATGGGTCCCGATCTAGGACGAAACAGCTGTCCAGTACTCTCTGGTTTTCAGTGGTTCTCTAACTGGTATAAATCGGTGGTCAAATTTGAAGCATATCAAATCCCAACAAACTAACTTTTGAATATTCATAAATACCTCTTGGGATTTTGATGTCAGTAATTCGATGTTCTTTCTAAAACATTAATGTTGTCAGTAACAATTATTCTCTAGCTATTATGGATATGATTTGAGAGTGTGAATTATGGATATGTAAATGTAAAACCTGAAGTAGATGGTATCAAAAAGAATATTCTTTACCCAGTAATTAGTGTTCAGAAATAAGTAGTCATGTATCTTCATGTGTTGGTGTGCAGAAATTTGATTGGTTACATGTTTGACCATGATGTGACACCAGTCTGGGAACCATCAGGAAACCAGGGTGTACTGGACAGCTGTTTTGTCCACCAAGTCAAGTATCCAAATGACACTGGCTAGCGGTTGCGGTATATATCGTGAATTGACAGAAGTTGGAATTCATAGGGCATAGAATTGAATCCCAGTGGCTGAATGTTTTACGAACTCATCTTGCAACCGGAGGCTTCTGGGTTCGGGAGCCTGTGGATGTTGCATGAAGAACCCCAAACTAAGACCAAACAGGCTTCTACTATCCCCTGGTTTTCCGTGGTTCTCTAATTGATGTCAGCCGGTGAACAGACCTGTAATAATTTATTCTTAAGTAGCTATTTTATCAGGTGGATTTTCCGCATCCATTAGTGCAATACTTTTCACATTTGTGAAAATATCAGTTTACGTTGACTTGCATTTTCTGTTGACTGAGTATAGTGTACCTTTGTTTATATATTAGCTTCTGGTAAAAATACTGGTGGTGTCCGAAGATTAACATGATTCCATTTGGTTGACGGTGATGCTTATTTGGTCCTATATGGGATTTGTCAGCTGAATGTGCCTGCGCATCCCCAGTGAGTGATAGTATTCCCATTTAGATTCTAACTCATCACCCATTGTTCCAAAAGCCAAAGCGTTATCTTTTAGGCCACTGGATCATGAGAACCACCTTTTGTGTAATTGGTATCAGTCATTAAGTTAGTTTGTATTTCCTGTTGATTGGTTATAGCACACCAAAGTGCTTGATGTTTGAAACGATAAGTACTGGGTTTGAGTCCCGACTGGAATACTACCCACTCACTCAGAATGTAGGTAAATTCATCAACTGACGAGTTCCAAATAGGTGATATGCGCCTCTGCTAGATTCTACTGCTACGCACGATCAAACAAAATCATAATTGTGAAAATGCCCTTATAACATGGATGTAGTAGGGGTGTATGGGGGGAAAGTCTAAAGAACATTTCCATCATTTGATCATGTAATGGGAAGAATACCTTTTTTGATGGTAATGTTTATTTGTTGATAAGATGTAGGTTATCGTAGAACTACTTTTCAGTCAACTGAGATCATTTTGAATGTGTGCCCCGATAGTCTTGTCATCGGTCTGCTTCGCTAATACAAGGAAATCTAATTACCTATCAAGTAAGCTACTTTGGACACGTTAAGTTTGTTACTGTTGGTTAAAAAATTACTTCTTTTCTGTGTACCTACCCCTCTTCATTATATTTAGACAATTTCATTTGGATATGAATAATTCATCAACAATCGTTAGTCGTCAAACTGGAACATTCCGATCAAATTGTATCGATTGTTTAGATAGGACGAATGTAGTCCAGTCTATGCTTGGTTGGTGTGCATTAGAACAGGCTGTTATTGAACTCGGTCTGTTACAAGGTCCAATATCTCAAGCAGCTGATGCAAGTACTACATCACATTTGTCACAATTATGGCCAGGTTTTGGATTTCGTTTCAAGTCAATATGGGCTGATAATGCTGATTACTGTTCACTTCAGTATACTGGAACACGTGCCTTAAAAACAGATTTCACCAGAACAGGTGAGTTGACTCAAAATGAATAGGGTTGAAGTATATACATATATACTTCCGTTTTTCCATATATATATATATATATAGGGAGAGAGAGAGAGAGAGAGATAATAACAGGACAGTGAATAAAGTTGGTATGAAAACTAGTGCGATATCAGGTTTTGGACTAATAGTTTCTTTTCTGTTTCTACTTAATTTCATCAACGACAATTACTTGGTTGATGCAGAGTACCTTGATGATATCGAGATTTTTCAATACTTTGAAAATGATTTAAGTATGTTTCAAGTGATGAAGGAAGTCAACTTGAATAGACAAGATATAACAGTAATACGTGTTTTATATATCCTCTCCCTTCACCAATGTACGTAGCACAGTTAGTAAGCCAAATCAGAACAAGTATTTCGGAATCGGTACTGTTGAGCAGGGATGCCCGCTTAGCTTACTAAAGATCATTCACGATTGACCGGACGTCGTAACATGACACCGTGCCAAGTGGCAAGAATGTTTAACTGCATACCTTCCGCTTAACAGGTCAACTTAAACGCCAGCATTTGGTGTTTAGTGGTGAGGAAAGCTGCAGACTAATAATTTCGAGGAATCATTTACTGCCACAAACGTTTAGATTGTTTATTTTTCATCTTTGAAATATAAATTGTATTTTGAAAGCTGGTCTCTTTCGATAATGTATCGTTTGTTATAAAGTGAGTTGATGAAGTCGATTGACTGTTTCATTTATTTGAAATAGTTTCTTCAGCTCTGTTGAAGTATTGGGCAGTAAGTTGTGATACAGATAGTATAATAATATAGTAATAATAATAATATTGCCACACCGACATGGTGTGTAGTTTATGTGAGATGTGTACACTGAAGATCATTTATTTCATTTATCTATTAAAACAAACTTGCTACATCATGGGCACCAAGAGATGTGCCACATAAAATCTCATAGATGAGCAAGGACTAAGATACTGTCCGAATACCCATACCAAAGCAGGCGGTTGCCCTAAGTAACCACACCCAAAACATATGAATTGAAATAAGATCCACAGGGTAGTAGAACTACATCCCCGTGGCAACCAAAACAGGTTCATACGACTTCCGGATTCTGGAGCCCATGTCTCCATAGGCTGTAATCGGGGTTATCCAGCTCCCTTGGGCAAATCAGCATTTCCATCAGTCTCGTTGTAAGCGCCAATTGTTCGAAATCATCCTTTCGCTTTCGTAAGAAACACCCTCACTACCTGAAAGCAATGGGTAGGAGTCACCTATCAGAGGTTATAAACTCATTGGCACATGGAAGAATTTCGAAAAGAAGGCCTAGGCCTCTCTACCCTCGACCGTACGACGTCGTTTATGGGAGTAGGTGAAGATGTTTCTAACATTTTTAACGTAGAAAAACTTAGAGGGATCATTTCTGAGGTGAAATGTAAAGTTTCTATTAGTGAAAGTAAATTAGCCAGTCAATAAGATCATGAGTGTAAAGTGCCTAAGATTGTTGGGACATACGTTTAGTACGCTTATTTATTAATATGCCTCAACTAATGCTATTAATCGGAAACATGTAAAGCAATAGAAGTAGGACTATTGTGGATGTTCATTTAGTTTATTGGTCTGGATTATGACTCACACTCATAAATTATATCCTTTCGAAACTCAACAAGCAAAACACAAGCGCAGAACAATAAATATTGCCAACCTGGTGTAGTTATGTTTTCTTAGCGAGGGTCTCATTGTCTTTTTGGACAATATCATCAACCATTACTTGAATATGCGTACTTTTTCAATTAAATTTTAAAGAGTTTATCACAAGGACGGTGTAGATTTGTACTTTTTCCTCATCAACGTTCATTAGGTGTACAGGTGATGTTAGGGAAGAAGTGTATCCTCCATAATTCTACCTGACTAGTGAATCAACTTAGAACCTAGAACAGAATTGCATCAGTTCAAGATCTTATACTTGGGAAAGGCACTCATAATAATGAATTAAATAGATGGTACTATGATAGACAAACATCACTGCCACAGGAAAAATGATAAGATGTGATTATATCTGTGTCAATTTAAACGAATTGTAGCCTTATCACTAAGTCTTCAACCATTAATTGTTAATATCTCGTCTGCATAATCTACAACTCCTTATATGAGTCACAAAGACAGTCAGTGACCTCATCATATGGTATCATGTTTTCATTTGACCATTCTTAGATAAAGGTAAACAATTAAACGTAGGTTCATGTAAACAGAATTCGTCTCATCACTTACTGTCTCCTATCCTATCTTCAACAATTACGCCTCATATTCGTGAAATGGAACAGAACAAACTGGGCTGATATATATATATATATATATATATACCCTGTGATTTATATCCCGATATCAGTTCTTCCTCCATAGATGACGCAAGGATTCAAGCATTGAATGTTCCAGTGGGAATTTGTCAGAGTGGTTTTAATTGCATAGTAGTAGTGGCAATAGAAGTAGTAGAATTTCTGTGACTTAGGTTGTTAGCTATGTGATTAGTAATTCTTTTTAGTTTAGCGCTCATTGATGGTAAAACCTTAAGGAACATTTTTTCTAGCCAACATGCAAACTAGACTACTACATTGAGGTAGCAGCTGTTGGTGGGCCCTCTGATATTCAAACTTCATTTCATGGTGAAGTGGGAGACTTAATGCAGCTCAAATTTATTCATCTTATGGATAAATTTCGATCAAGACACACACATACATGTACACCGAGGACCAGACCACCATATTAAGTTCGCACCAACACCAAGGATTAGACGCATGACACTATTGTCCAACAAATGTATCCATTATAGTTTTATCGAAAGTCAATCGCAAATCCCAGTAGCCTAGTAGTAACGTCTGTGACTGCTGCTGCACTAGTTGACCAGGGTTGGAATCTCAGAAGAGACACGAGTTCTTTTAACATTGTAGATATTCTGTGTTGACGAGTGGCAACAAACACGAAACCTAGCTCCAAGACTTCCTACCGATCGCTGTCAACTATTTAGCAACGATTCAGAGTGCACCGTGATGGCAAACCACTCGTACGGTGACACCATTGCAAACTTGAATGATAGAATTCATTGTGCATCAAACGAAGGATTTAACGCATAACTTTAGTTACTGCCTAGTATCCGATCAATAACGATTACCATCTGGAGACTAAATTCGCTTGTAATTCATCATACCGTAGCTAATTTCCTTCATTATGATAGATAACAAATAATACTTTTGTTGTTACAGCGTTGTTCTTTTTGTAGTCTGATAATCGAATAATCAATAGCGATGAATAGTTTGATCATTAACGCCTTTCATGTTCCTTTTCCCTTCTTTTCTGCCTGCACTTAATTATGAGCTGAATAAAAAAAATAGTTCATAGAATGATATATATATATACATATATACCACGAGAATATTGAGCATTTTTCATATCTATTCCTAAAGGTTAAAATATATGACTCATTTTATTTATCTGCTTTCTCTAATATAAATAAAACAGTTCACTTCGAAACAGTATTGCTATAGATTTGGACTGAATTGATTTTACTTCTATTATGCTGTCTCATCAGTTGACCGAACCCAATCAATGATGTCAGTGATTGTTATATATATATATATATATATATATATATATATATATATATATATATATATATATATATATATATTGTATTTCATCCCGTTCTCATATACTTTTCCAGTTCCCATTCTATTCCATCTTATGGATTGTCATAACAGGTCCAAACATGAACTGTTATGCTTCTGTGCAAAGTCGTAAATTAATCTATCCATTGCTGTCTACGCATCAGTAACACATAATGTGAAGGATAAAGGGAATAAGCATTGTTAAAATATGAACCGTAGGGTTAACGGCCCCATGTTGTGAGAGAGAAAAGGTTATGGGTTCAATTCCCAATGAATTCACAAGCATCTGCTACTGAAGCATTTTAAACTATAGAGAAACAGGACTTACTCAACCCTAGTCTAGAACACAGTTCTAGGGACAAATTTTTCATCTACCAGGAGGACTATGAGTTACAGTTATCGTATAGATGTTGATGATGTCTCCTAATTTGTTGCTTAAGATGAAGCAGATAACAAGACATTCGAATCTAGGATCTTCTAAATAGAAAGTAGAGTGTTTAAATCAGTAAGCCATATCTTCACTCTTGTCCAGAAACATTTTTGTTTGTGAAGAAGTAATGAAAAATTTCATTCGAATCAAAAATACTAATCTATGGAGCAATCTACAAATATTATCTGCTATAAGAACGCTTATAGTAAACAAAAAAGAAGATTTAGAAAGGAATATTCTTTCCCAAAACTTCTTCGTCTAACTCTCCAGTTATATATGCACATAATATATAAAGAGTAACTGTTATTCAAAGCATATCAAGTTGTTAAGATCAAGAGTATTACATTTCAAAAGCATGTATAAAGGTGATAATGTTGATGTGGTTTTGTTCTCTGAGCTGGATAGTTAGTTTGCGAAGCTTTCATCACCTTACTGGGTGACATCTTCAGCGCATACTTCAAATTGAAGTATGCGCTGAAGATGTCACCCAGTAAGGTGATGAAAGCTTCGCAAACTAACTATCCAGCTCAGAGAACAAAACCACATCAAAATTATCCACCTGAGCTACAAATCTTCTCTATCATAGGTGATAATGTGCATCGGATACATCACTAAATCTAATATCAGATACAAATTAAGAAGAATACTAATTGAATAATCAAGATGGTTAAAACAACAATAATAACTTACAAAAGACATAAAGAGAAGGGAATAATGCCGATTTTTACAATCACGAATATCTCCTCAACACATAAGTTTGGGTTCTTCTTTCTGGTGGATTCTGATGCCCATTACTGAATGTGAAAGATGAACTCGGACAGCAAACTTGACATTATTCAGAATACAATATATAACTGTGAACATTTATAAAGTTATCTTTGTAAAATCTCAGCGAAATTGAAATGATTAATTCCAACGTTTCGTTCGGCAATCTGGTCCGAACTTCTTCAGGGAAATTAATCGAAATTAACATAACAAAGTTTATATATAAAGGGACACTTGGTCAAATTCCCGATTGTCTACGTCTTCTTATGGAGAGAATAACAAATCTATAAAAATTGAATTATATTTATAAAAATGTCAATTATTTTGTAACTATCCGGTCAAATCTTGATCACAGCTCATATGAGAATAGCAAATGTTTTATGACTGTTCCACCCACCCACCCCCACCCCCCACACACACACACCATTGTATCCTGCATATATTGCATATACACATATATTTTAACAAAAGTAGACAAATTGGTGGATGGTGGCTAGCAGTGGTCTTTTTGACACTACAAATGACATCAAGGAAATAATAAAATTTGTCAATAATAATATGGCGTGATGAGGAGGTTATCGAGAAGGAATATTCTTTCGCGCAATCTCCATTTTTGTCTTTTAAATGACCAAATTACCATTTGCTATATCGAAAGTGTAGTTTTGTTGAATTCAGGTGAAACATGAGTAAATACGGATTGAATTTCCACTGAAGTGTTGTGAAGGTATTGCAGAAATCAAGTGAATTGATACCCCGATATAGAGATACTAAAATACAATCGACAAGTCGACTCTACATCGAATATGACTGTTCTTCTTTGGCTACCTTCTACTTCACTGAACTAAAAAAATATCATAAGAAAAAGATTGTCCAATAATATTATTATGTTCATGTAACAAAAAGAATTTAAGGCTGAAACACAAAATCTTCTACCTCTTCAGCTAATGTCTTAAAGTGTCGATTCTAGTCCCAACCACTTCCTATCATATATAGAAAAAGGGAATTATTGCATGATAACATAAAAAACAGCTGGTGTTTTTAACTTTTAATGAATCTGAAAAAGATTTCACTCATTTATTTCTCAAGAATACAGTTTCCAAAATATACTAAAATTCAAAAATCGTCTCAGTGTAGGTTTAATTAGACAGGTTCAAATTCTGAATCTTAGTGACTCCCGATTTCATCCGTCAGTTCACTCACACACCTACCTGTGAACATAAACACATACAGAGCAGACAAAGAGAAAGAGAGGGTTGTTAAACAAAGTCAACTAGTTATAGCTTCAGTGTCATTTAAACCTAGTTGTTACAACCGATATAATCGAAACATCAGATTCTCTCCTGTTGGGAGTGTTGTCTTCCAAAGTCTTGAAGAGTTGAACTATTAGTCTCTGGTTCGAGTCCTACCACTAATCAGGTTTTTACTTCACCTTCAGGCACCATCTGTTATTTGTTCACATTGTACACGCACACAGTTGGCTAAGACAAGAATACATCATGAAATTAATCGTTTGTAAACTACGCACTTTTTAGTTGCTTTTTTAGGGGAGGGGAAGCTTAAAATATTCCGAACAGATTATTTGACCTGTTTGACACCACAATCAGCATTAAGAATATGACCAAAGTTACAAGTTGTTATATACTTCTGACTGGTATGAGTCGTTGGGTGTCATCCACGTGTCAATCAGTAGTACTTAGACAAATCAATGGTGATCTAAACACTGGACGTGCTCTCCATGCTCTCCAGCCTCATTGGAGGTCCTGAGCTAGAAGGCCGAAAGGCTGTTCTGTTCGATTGAAGCCGAGCCCACTAACAGTAGACCCTGATCGACTCAGTTCAGAAAGTTAACATGACAGAGGTTTGGTCAATATGATGACTTTATACTCTGTTTTTGAGAACAACTGAAAATGAAATGATGTATGTAATAGCTAAATGATAAAACGAAATCATGAGGCCAACTTATTAATATTTTTCATATACCTTTCGGTTATGACCATCGTTTTGCTAAAATGCAAATTGAATAACGATCAGTAAGACGACTAAGAGAGAGAGAGAGAGATCGGTCACTAATTTCACTAGTTAGTGAAATTATACAGTTATGCCTGCATGAAGTTAAATAAAGTATGCAACGGGAATAACAGTAAAGGACACTGGACACGTAGAGTAGGTAGTTTCACACTGATAAGTTATAAGCCTATCTTTCTGTTTTATTGTAGTGCGCAATGAAATGAAATTTTAATTTGCAGCAGGACTAAGACTATAGTTTCTTTCCAGCTTAATAATCCCAGTGATTTGCCGACCTCATCAGCGGTGTGTCCGGTTTCACTTGGTTTCAAGCGAGCGAGATGTCTGTTCCGTATTTAGATCACATCGATCTGGCTAGCGAGCACTATTGGTAAACATAAACGGTATGCAACTACTTATCTCAATCAATATATGGCTTCATTCAAATATGCTTGCTTTCTTGATTACCGTTTACGGTGGTATCAAGCAGATTACATGTTGTGATCTGATTGACTTGGTTTTCAAAGGAAACTACGGTGAAATTTCACTACTTGAACTGTGTAGAGTGCAAATCGGGAATTCGATGTCACTGTGACTATTCCTTTACTTATAGATCTGTATTTCTAAACCAATTACTTTCAGCGAAAATCGTCCATACTTAGTTTCATGCTGGAATGTGATAACAGAACTCACTAGGAAGCAAAGACGAGAATTTGTTCTATTTAAAAGTCATGTGTTATGACTGGAACTACTACCTAGTCGACTATGAGTGAATACTAACTTAATGCGCTGGCTGGTCTGTCCTAATCGCACGTCAACAAAAATAATAATACCACCGGCACGCGAAGATAGAAGAAAAGACTGAACGTTTATACAAGAGTTTTTAGTGTCTGGAAACTACGGTCAAAAGAAATTGATAGCACTTGAGTATATATATGTTAAAGATGACCAAGAGAGGCACTAATATCATTGATGAATCAAACAGTGAACAATCAATAGAATTTCAAAAGTCAAGTAGGGGGAGAAAAAATTTGGTCATTAATCAATAAGTGAGTTGACAGAAATAAAACAGACACTTGTAATTATTTATGACGAAAGAAAGTTCACTTTTAACAGTGAAAAAATTGGGGCATTGGGTATATGATATTCATGATAATAAACGTTTTCTTGCATTTTCCGATGAATGAAAAACAAAACGATATCGTTTTTACTGACGTTTCGCTACTTAATGCTGCTAATAGCTTTATCGAAGTACTATTAAACCAGAGCTTACAAAATCTCAGCTTAGATATGTAACAAACAAATACAAAAAATCCTTTATTTTAATAGATATGTAAAATGACTTACGTAAATACTTAATCGATGTTCATCTTTTCCCCCTTTCAAAATTTAATATAATAGGTTTCCAAATGTAACCAATTGGTTTTAGTGTATGATATTCACTTCAAAAGGAATTAGCATCTCATATCAGTATTACTTTATTTTGGTTAGGCTTTTGTGTTTGTCACGTTTCACTCATTCTAGTGGAGTTTGCAACCCACTGACCCAAACGTTTGACTTTCAACCAATAGGTCTTGGGTTCGAGTCCCACTCCATATACTTAAAACTGGTGTACAACCGGGTAGAACCATCAGTCGGCATACAAGAAGTATGCCTCTTAGCCTGGTACTTCGAAATTATGCACCTAGTGAATCAGTCCAAACAGCACTATTTCCAATATTTTTGGCATTCTTGCGAAGCAAATAATATGTCTATGTGGTGTATTATCATTATTATTTTTATTTTGAACGAGTAGGTAAAAGGACATTCTATGGTATGCTAATGGATGGTTATCATTCAGCTATTCGATATTATTTAAACAATTTCAATGATGGATTTCGTCAAGATTCAATGCACCTACTACTTGGTCAATATAAAGTATGCGATTCTAATGGTAATCCAAAACCGCTTCATGGATCAAATGGGTTAAGACGTCGTCGAGGCAATTCTGATTCTGAATGGTTAACACAATTTCTACCGTTGATATTCAGTTTCACTTTGGCCATGTCTGTATTATGTTGCATTTTTCCTACAGGTGAGAAAGAGAGACACTTTAGCATTTAATAAAACGAACGCTGTTATCCTTGTGTTTTGATAGGTTTTTATTAGACACCTAGTAGGTTTGTGTCTAAAAAACACGAAAATAAAAGTGGCGCGCCTTTCGATTCAGTGCGTTACTTTTTGCAGTAACCTATAAAACCCTCATTTGTTTTCTATTGTTCGCCACGAAGTTCTGGAAATTATTGAATTCCGTTAACTTTCGAACGCTTAAACCCTGGATTTACTATTATTGACTACTAATACCTATAACAGAGTTTTTGGACATTTGTATCTTTTAAAAACAACCCATACGTAAAATTGTATATATTATTGGATTTTTATGTTCAAGTTGGCCCAAGTCAATGAGTCTGTGATTTTGGTATCATTTTAGTTAACTGTGCTGAACTATATTGCATGTTGTTTTATTGTATCGTTGTTGTCGCTTTTTGCTGTGAATTGTTTTCCTTTTGTTGGTGTTGTTCTGATTGCTTTATCCCTTGTTATCTGATTTTAAGGGGAGCAACCCAAAAGGTCGCTTCTCTCTAAACTTTATCTTAATGTAACCATTTCTTTCTCAGGCGTGAGGCTAGCAACCCCACCCTGTAAACAATATTGCTACAGAATCTTCAGCACGATGAACCTCTTTGCACCAAAAGAAAAAGTCTGTGTGGGGACATGGAACGTCCGCACTATGTACGAGACAGGGAAAGCTGCCCAGATCGCAAACGAGATGAAAAGATACGGAATCCAAGTGCTGGGAATATGTGAAAGCAGATGGAATGGGAATGGACTCACCAAATTGTCAACGAGTGAGTCAGTGATCTACTCCGGTCACCCAGAAGATAACCACACGCACACCGAGGGCGTGGCTATCATGATGTCACCAACGGCAACAAAGGCCCTGATGCAATGGGAGGCGATCTCGTCCAGGATAATGACCGCCAGGTTCAACTCCAAAGGAAGGAAAGTGTCAATCATACAATGTTATGCACCCACAAACAACGCAGACCTCGAAAAGAAAGAAGAATTCTACAGACAACTACAGGCAACAATGGACAATACTCCAGCTGGCGACATTAAAATACTAATGGGAGACATGAACGCCAAGCTAGGACCAGACAACACAGGAAGGGAACTCATCATGGGTAGAGAAGCTCTCGGAGAAATGAATGAAAATGGAGAACTCTTCGCCGACTTCTGCGCCTTCAACGAACTAGTGATTGGTGGCAGTGTATACAAACACAAAGATATCCACAAGGCTACATGGGTGTCACCAGATGGGGAAACCAAAAACCAAATTGACTTCATCTCAATCTCAAGGAAGTGGAGGCGCAGCCTACTGGACACAAAAGTAAGAAGAGGAGCAGACGTTGGCTCAGACCACTATCTCGTACAAGGGACAATCCAAATCAAACTAAAAGCTTTCAGAGAAGAAGGAGCTGCAGACAGACCACAAGCCAAGTTCAACACTCAAAAGCTGAAGGACCAGGCTACAAAGGACATCTTCATTGCAAGTGTAAAGGACAAAGCCGAGACACAAATCAACACCAGCGAAGAGGTCGGCGTCGAAAAGCACTGGGAAAACTTGAAAACGGTGTGGAGCCAAACCTGCATGGAAGTTCTAGGTAGAAAGAAGAGGCAGGACAAACAGTGGCTCACTGTGGACACTTGGAGACTAATAGAAGAGAGAAGGATGGTGAAACAAAAGATTATCCAGTGCACTGACGAGCAACAAAAACAGGAGTTGAATTCAAGCTACTATACACTGAACAAAAGAGTGAAGAAGAGTGCCAGAGAAGACAAAAGAAAATATTATGAAACCATGGCCAGTGAAGCGGAACAAGCTGCAGGCAAAGGAGACCTCGCCACACTCTACCAAACAACTAGGCACCTATCGGGAAAAAGTTCGACACAGATTAAGCCACTAAAGGATTACAATGGAAAATCAATCACCAAAGAGGTGGAGCAAAGAAAACACTGGGCTGAACACTTCAAAAGACTTCTGAATCGACTGCCACCTACAACGCGCCCAACAATACCAACAACGGAAGCAGAACTACCACTGAACATCGACCTCCCGACGAAATCAGAGGTCCTGAATGCAATCAAGATGCTAAAAACCGGAAAAGCAGCAGGACCAGATGGAATCCCAGCAGAAGCACTGAAAATGGAACCAGAGACAACAGCGGACTTGATGACACCACTACTGGAGAAGGTGTGGATAGAAGGCAAAGTACCCGAGGATTGGAAGAAGGGATACTTATTCAAACTGCCAAAGAAAGGAGATTTAAGTCAATGTAAAAACTGGCGCGGAATTATGCTCCTGTCCATTCCAAGCAAAATACTAAGCCGCATCATCCTGGAGAGAATCAAACAAGCCCTGGATGCAAAATTTCGACCGGAACAGGCTGGATTCAGGAGAAACAAGTCATGTATTGATAAAATCGCCACTTTACGAATCATCATTGAACAAAGCTTAGAATGGCAGTCACCTCTCTATCTCAACTTCATCGACTTTGAAAAGGCCTTCGACAGCGTCGATCGAGAGGTGATTTGGAAACTACTTCGCTACTACGGGGTCCCATCGACAATTATACAACTCATCCAACAGTTATACGACAATGCTGCATGCCAAGTAATCCACAACGGGAAACTTACGGAAGCCTTCGAAGTGAGGACGGGAGTGAGGCAAGGCTGTCTACTATCGCCAATGATCTTCCTGATTGCAGTAGATTGGATAATGCGACAGACAGCGGCGGGCAATGAGGAAACAGGCATAAAATGGACTGACACAAAAAGCTTGGAGGATCTGGACTTCGCCGATGATATATGTCTGATTTCCCACAAACTGGAAGATATGCAAGTGAAAAGCAACAAGTTGGCAGAAGAAGCATCAAAGATAGAGGAGTTCAAGTGAACATAAAGAAAACAGAGGTGGTGAAGAATCCTGGCCAACAGCAACAGCAACAACAGGCTACAGTCAGCCAGTATAAGTGGGAGGAACCTGAAAGAAACAACCTCCTTCACCTACCTGAGAAGCATCGTTTCAACTACAGGCGGAACTGACGAGGATATCAAAGCAAATCTAGGGAAAGTAAAGGAAGCCTTCATTACTCTCAAGTCTGTGTGGAGGTCAACAGCACTCAGCATCAAAAACAAGATCCGGATTTTCAACTCCAATGTAAAGTCAATGCTACTTAACGGAACAGAGACTTGGCGAGTCATAAGGAGCATCTCAAACAAACTTCAGACCTTCATTAACAGTTGTCTTCGCTCAACACTCAAGATCAGATGGCCGACCAGAAAAGATCACCAACAGAGGTCTCTGGGAGCGAACCAACAGCAGGAACCGCTTGTGAAACAAATAGGTAGGAAGAAATGGAGATGGATTGGCCATACGCTGAGGAAACCATCAAGTGACATCACTAGAAAAGCGATTGCTCGAGTGGAATCCGAAATGGAAACGGCGAGTTGGTCGTGCAAGGGTGACTTGGAGGAGCTCATGCAAGGAAGAGATGAAGGCATGTGGGCAGACTTGGAGCGGAGTGAAAAAGTTAGCAGAAAACAGAAGGCAATGGAGGTGCGCAGCTGAAGCCCTATGTTCCTCGAGGAACTAAAGGATATAATAATAATAATAAGGTTTGTGTCTTAACAGTCATATTGAAACTTGGGTATTGAACAATTTTTCCTATTCTGTTGCGTCCGACTGAAACAGATAGGATTACAAGTGGTGGTGTTTTCTCGTTTTGCATGGTGGCGTCTCTGGCCCTACGCGCCCAATCGTCTCTCTTTTTGGGAGTGTCAGTCGGAAATCGAACCCGAAGCCTCTGAGTGGCTGGCGAGCATCCTATCGCTGAACGAATGACGCATACTGAATAATGAACTCTGCCCCGACCGATAGCTGCTACCTTGACGTGGTGGTCGGGATTGCACATCGCGATGTCCCAACCAGCTGCACTGGCTGGAACCAATGTTCTTGCAGGTCCTACCATGCCAGGAAGGTTGTTAGGTTAGCGATTAGACTAAAAGCAGTTACCGGCATTGTGTAAGATTCTTTCTTACACTATGCTGGGGGTCTGAGGACGAAGTCGTACTGCTAGGGAACAGGGGTGTAACAGCATTGATGTGTTTCTCTCAGATGACCAGCATGCCAGCTATGCTGCCTCTCCACTCCGGAGGGAGGGGATTAGAAAAGGTAGACCCCAAAAATTGTGCATCCCGACTTACCTTACGGTGGTCCGTAACCAGCGGTAAGTTTACTAACACGGAACCAATCCCAGAAACCAGTTCATACAGGCCGTGTGTGACCGGCCTCAAGCAGTTGTCCCCTGGGCTCTGCGGTCACGCAACATTAACCCTATTTCTTTTTCAGGTACCCGAAGAATCAATCAACTTCCACGGTGTGGGCAGCCGGGAGTAACAACCGCCCATACACTTCCAAAAGCACACGAAGCCTTCCTGAGCATCATTTCTCTTTACTCATATCACCTCCTCATCTTGTTTCTCTACTACAGTTAGTACTGTTCTGCAGGCTAGTGAGTCATCTTCACTTCACTGTGTGATCACAAACAACGGTGAGAGCCATAGAAACACTCCAGATAGCCTTTTAAAGGTCCGTCATCAACTTCATATAGGAGCATTTAACGTCAGGACCCTCTGCCAAATCGAACAACAGGCATCACTAGCACGAACTCTGGAATCTCGAGCCATGGATGTATGTTGTATTTCGGAGACACGG